ATGATAATGACCGTAGACAGAAATTAGGAGAGTAATGTAATTTGCCCGAGTCGCAGTATCAAAATTAGCAATGATCTTGTTCGCATACAAAGGATTCTGTAAGACATACACACTTTTGTGGACTTCAAAGTTTTCAAATATTCATGAATAAGCAATAGTAACGTATCATGTCAGTGAACGTTCACTGCCTTGTCAAATCTCTCGAACAGTCTTTCCTAAGACACAAAAATAAGGCATCTCACGCATTATGGCTAATTTCATTTCAGTTATTATTCTAAATTTACTGAGATAAAATAATTTTACATCCAACGTAAAAAAAATGAATATTCAATTGTTCAATTATAGAAAAGGTCCTAATTATAAGATATATTTTAATAACAGTACCTCAAGCAATAGTTTGACGAGACATGTCCAATATTTTGTGCATATTGTAATTCATTGTTTGAAATAATCTTTGTTTAAACTGAAAAAACATATTAACTCATTTTTAGACATCATTATTATGAATGTCGTACATGTTGTTTATGATACAAAGCTCGCAAGGAAACTTTTCTCAACAAGTATGTAAAACAAAACAAATTAATTAAAAATACTTATTCTTTTTACCTTTTTGATACCAATGGTTTAACATTTGTACAAAAACTGATGCAGACATGAATGTTTAGCTATTAAAGGGATATTGACTTCGCTAAAATTATGACAGATTTTGTAAGATTACAATTTTTAAAGCTTAAAACAGGAGTCAATTAAAATTGCACCAAGTATTCGCAGGTAACTTTCAGGAAGTCCCATTTGCGACTTAATATACTGCATTATTTATGGCATTTATAATATCAAATAGTTGGAAGGATATGGTAATCAAATAAATGATTGCAATGTTAACGTTTATGGGTATTTAATATGAACTATTGGTATTTATTGTGAAAATATTATTATGAATTAAGTCATTAAAATTACAAATGAATTGAAAAACAATTTCCTTGTTTTGTTACAAATTTCAATTACATTTAATTTACCTTACCTAATATACTTAATTATAGTTCTATTTAAATACTTGCACATATGTATACAATTAATATAAACAGTACTAAGCAGAATTATTCGAATGTAATTTTTAATTATTTCATTTGTAATTACTCATAATGCTCTTTAGATTGTCAATTAAGAGCAATTATTCACACAAATAAAACGTCTTCATATTTGATTCAATGATAATGTTTTTTTATTTATTTTACGTCTTCCTGTTCAATTATTTTAATAACTCATACTCATGATTTTTACTAATTTGGCACATTTATTTGAAAAGAAGATCAAAAGTATATCAGCGTAACGCAGATACCACATGCACTGGCACTGAAGATTATGTATTGCTAAACACACTTTGCTTTTTTTAAAAAAGTTATTGTAAACCAATTATCTACGATACAAAAATACGTGCGAATAATAATTCATTTGTGATGAGCAATTATGAGCATTCATTAAATAATCGTTGCTATTCTCTAAATAATTATACAATAAGTCAGGATTTAATAAGAAATAATATAAACGATATATTGATTTGACAATCATCTTAAAATTGCATAACATTTAGTGTAATAGCATAAACATACAAGATTGTGTAGCAAGTTCCTTAAGTAATAAAGACATAATTGTCTATTGGATATATCAAAGTTACATAACTATTAATATATATTTAGACCCCTAAGGATTTGTTTAGGTAAGGAACTTTCATTCACAGACAATTATGTCATAACAGCAGAAAATATATTTTAATGTAGGAATTGGTATTGATATGATGAATAACAATGACTTGATTTATTCTATAGCTTATATCCTTTGGTGAAAATTTAACCAACATTTTTGAGTATTTTACGTTCATGTTACTATCAGGCTTATTGTGTCTTAAGAATAATTCATAAAACGAACGAGCTAATTTGTACATTTCTGTGCTTTCCATAAATTACCTAATGCAGTCAGCATTTTGAAATAATACGAATGAAATCTATAGCGCTCCAACAGTGATAATTTGGATGGCACAATATCATTCCGACATATGTATGAAACTTTTTGTAATGCCTTTCACATGTGATAAGATAAAATTAATAAATTTGCCATTCCCGTTTTACTTTAGTATTTGACATGGTTATGAAGTGACATACTGAAATTGATTGAACGCAATGATTCATTTCAAAATTTTCCTCAACGATTTAGAAACAGTTAAATTGATTTGCTTTACTTGAATTGATAGAGATCTCAATATAATTACATATCAGTGGAACTCCTCAATTTGACTTGTGTGAAATGATAAAATCAGTACAAGACTTATAATAGTTTTGAAAAAGGACCACACACAAAAAAGCAATTCGATCTCATATCAAACTGTTTTAACCTCCATGCAGACTGACAAAAAATGAAATAGTAATTTACTTTATGACACCAATGGTTAAGAAGAAATCAGCAGTCTTATTTAACAGTTCGATGATTCTAGCACGTTTACGTGTTCAAAATCGAGTACCGCTAAAACTGGTACCGGGGGGGGGGGGGGTGTTGCACTTATTCATTATCCCTCATGTACAGACTCGATAAAACCAAGTCTACATTTTTATGTAATTTTGTTGTGAGGGATCACCCTTCTTGTGTAGTGTAAGAGAAACAGCAGACTGATAATATTACATAATTATCCTTTCTCCAAACGCTTAATACAGGAATCGCAAGATAATAATTAATTGCCTTTAAGCTTGTTGTATGTAATCTTATATACATATGTACGTTTACATTTTTGCAAGTCATGTCAGAAATTGGCAGGGGACAAGGCAATTTCTATTAACAGTTGTTAAATTACTTTGTTACGCCAATTAACATTCTCGTGTTGTACAAAATATATGACAAAAAGTGTAAAGCAAATGTTTTGTTTTGATGATTTAACCGAATAGTCTATGCAACGCAAGATATTTGTTTCATAATAGTATGTGGATGAGTGATGTTCATTATCCGATATAGAATTTATCTATGTATATTTTGTTTCCATACTTTCATACTAGTCTTTATTTTTATGAGAGATTATAAGATTATATAGAAAAAGATATCATTCTAAAACATACAAATGTTCATACTATATATTTTATTACTTGAGTGTTAATTATTATTAATAATATCTTAATGATACAATCCGCTGTTATTATCAAATAGTTGTGAAAAAATGTATAACATTAAAGACTTTTTTTTTTCAATTATAAGCGAACAATAGCGAATTATTTATTGTAAGAACAATATTATGCTGCGTTTTATCAAGCAATTTGAAGAGTTTTAAACACAATGTTAAAATATTTGTGAGAACGTTAGAATTGTGCGTTCCGGAATTAGTTTTAACATTTAGTTTGTATCTAATCTATGTTTTTTCTATAGTATTTGCACAATTTGTCTCGCTCTGTAGACATCCGATCCGTATTGTCCCTGTATGAAAAGTTTTTGGCTTTAAAAGTTCATTTCATTTTGCAAGCTGTATAGAATGAAAATTCATTTTTTATTTTTCATTGATTATCAGTATCATTGAAACTTGTATCTACCAATTTCGCAAAAAGTTACAGGACCAAATTCAATGTTGTTAACTTCACATGAAGCGAAGTGATGATCTGAAAATCTTTTTATCTCAATTCACAGACAGTTTAGTCAGAAAGTTCCCTCATTGAATAAAAAGAACTGAGGAAAACCATTTGGGAAGTCAGAGAGTAATTTGTCTGCAATACTCAATAAAACGGCGCCTTAAAGATGTCAAAAGTAGCATTCAATACAACAAGAAAGGAAGAAATCAAAAATGCAATGATTCTTTTATCCCTGACATATCAATCTTTTGACCGTTTTTCATAAACAGATAGATGTACTGCTTCTTTGTACACAAATATTTTGCACATGAGTTCACCTATAAAATGCATTTAAATGCTTTAATATCATGAATATTTCATACAAAATAAATATTTCTCATCTTATCTCTTTATTCGTCTGTCCCTTTGAATTATAGAATAAACTAAATATTATGTTTTCGTAATCAAACACGTTAATTTACTGAAACTATAATATATCAACAGAAAATGAGCTGTACTTCAAAGCCAATAAATTCAATAAATAATTGAGCTTCCATTATGGTCTTCCTAAAAAATAAAACATTATTTCTTAATATGGCGCCAATTTAAACTACCCTCTGCATGAATGTCGTAATTTTGTATATAACATTTCTTGATAAACCATAAATGCTTAGACATTTGCATAAGAACACACATATTTTGTAATCGTAACCAGTACGGCTGTTAAGGTTTAATGATTACATAGCATACTAGATGATTCACCACAGATTAAAAGACGACATAAATCCGGTCATAAACAATACGAAAATAAGGATTTTTTTTTTATGACAATCGTAAATATTATATTGCAGTAAAGTGTATTAACATTGTAAGAAATTAATCACTAAACTAGAGAGTTTGTAAAGGAGAAGATAATTTCGTTGAGCGAACAGATATGATCCATTTTCTGGTTGTTATGCAATTTGAGAGTTTTGACTTACACAATAAGTGAAACAAAAGCTTATTGTTACTCACATGTTTTATTTTATTTGTATAGTTGGAGCTTTATCAGCAGATATTTATGTACATACACTGCATAGAAGTACTGGTGTAATAAAGTTATTGAGAGGTGATCCGGGATACTGAAAACTATAGGTACATAATTGATATTGTAATGGTCTAAGAATAGTTAGCAAACACTTTGAAAATAATTTTCTGTCAGATAATTACAGAAAATGTTTTAGCACATTCAGGTTCTCTCATGAGTGAATTATTTTTATCAATTTTGTCTGCTGAGATTTGGTGCATAAACCACAAACTGTCTGCTTTATACTAAATCATATCGGAACTTGTAAATTGTTCGAACAGCAATTAACACAGACTTTTCGTATCACAATACATGTAATTAAAACTAAATTTACATTTTAACATTGTCTCCTTTAATATCCCTTGTCGGTTTCTTTGATTTCCTATTTTGCATTATTTATAATAACTATCTGTCCAGGCTTTTCCCCTCTTTCGCTTTTTGTTTGGTGTCCTGTTTGGCTCCTTGCCGTTGGATTGTGTTGGACGATGTATCCATTGACCTGTTCTTCCTAGTTGATCTTTGTTTCCATATTTTATAACAAGCGTTAACAAAACAATAAATTCAAAGATTTTTTAATCTAAAGTATTGTATTTGTAATATTGAAAATCACGTATCTATACCGTTTGCAAAGGAAGGGATTAAGAAAACAACAGAGTAGCGGAAACATTTAATTGCATGACACAGTAACATGTTAAAGTTATTGTGCAGGAAACAACATATTGTAATATGAATCTTAATTTAAATTTCGTAACAATTAATAACAAACTAATAACGAAACGTTCGTACATGAAAAGGAACATACAAAAAAATGATAAGTTACTGCATTTACACATGTTTCACAATGCACGTACTAGGGTGTCCAAAAAATTGAACCATTTTATGAATGAATATCAACAAATACCAACAACATGAATATAAAAAAATGTCACGAAGTCTTACTTTATCTTCTCTTAACAAGAAGTATTCTCTTCAATGCATACAGAACATTGTAAAGAAATTAAACTTCATATGATACTGTTTTACAGTGAAAACATTTAAAATGTAATATGTGATATGCATACTTTTAAAACATTTCCATAATTGAATGTCTTTACCTGAATCTTTTACCCTAAACATGCTGAATATTTTAAATAGACTTGTCCCACTTCCATTATAGGACTGTCCATTATCAATTTTAGGGGTATTAATTTGATTATTTACATTTTGTCAGCCAGCAGTATAGAGCCTGGTCAGACTGAACGGATGTGCGACTGGCCTGTCTCTATACTGGTGGCAAAAGCTTAATGCTTTCGGTTTCAGATCTCTAATGGTTAATAAGAGAAACTGAGATAATAAAAATTAACAAAACTATAACATAACTAAAAAGAAATCGAAATTATAGCAATCACTTTATTTCCTTTCAAGAGAATGTTGTATTTTTAGGTGTCCATATTACATATATGCACCAATATATAAAATTAAATATAAGGAAAACACTTGGAAAAGCAATTCTTGATATACGGTCACATGTTCGAGCTTTTTCTCTACTTGGCATGAACATTCTAAACCTTGATTGACGCCTAGCATCGTAATCAACCTGTAAAGATAAATGAAAACTTATATATACATTATAAATCTACAGAATATAATTTTGATTAATCATACTTTTTAGGACAATGAATACGCAGAAATATCTAATAAATCAGCTAAAGGTCCGGTATTAAAGCATAAAAGATTCCTCAATACATTTGCAATATTAATATAGATCTATATTAGTTACTGTAAACAGATAAGACAAATGCGTCAGCAAAGAGACTGTCAAACACATTGGTAAAACAACCATATAAATTCCTAATAGAAGTTTTGCCTTATAATATGTCACAACATAATTCAAGTTAATAGCCGTTTCAATATGGCGAATCATGATAATAGATATCAACGGAGTTCCTACATTTTCAAGAATAAGTGAATATTATTGTATCTAAAACACCTATATACCACATAACGGATGAAAAACCACACCATTTTGTTTTTATTAATGATAATTTGATTTTATTTTAAGTCATTTAGTACTGGTTATGCAAGTCGAACATTTCGTTTTTATTTAAATCGTTTGTATGTTCTCTTTTTTATATAAAGATATACGAAATAAGTCATGAAAGATGATATATACCTCATCCTCCTTTTCGTTTATATTGTTTAATTTATGTGTTCCTACACAGCTTTGCCGCCGACGTTTCTCCACTCGTGAGTGTACATTTACATACGCGAATTCTATCAGAGCGGCAAATACGAATAACAAACACGTTGCAATCCATACATCGATACCTGTTTAATGATAAATCGTAGAATGAACCTAAAGAAAGTTTGAAGATAAGCTCTATCTGTAATCTAAGAATATATATCAATCGTAAGAATCTTACAAATCAGGAAACGCTTGAAACGCTTTCCTATATTTTCTATAAAGTACGATGACAAAATATGCATATTGTTTTTTGTTCAAGTGAGGTTATGCCCATCCAAGGGGTATATAATAAATGAACAAATGAAAGTCCATAAAAGTTAATATGTTGCCATAATTCCTTTTAATTCTATTTATAAAAGAGTGGGGCAGCTTTTTTATATCATAGGCATATTACTATAATTTACCATTTTCCAATATCAACTGTCGTTCAATCACCATCATAACAGTCAATCTCTTGAAATATATAACTAATTCAGCTCGACTTGACATGGAAAATATAGTCATAATGTCACTGTAACCTTTTTTCACTCAGAGTGTGTTACTTTATTTATTTACACATTAATTTCAATCAGCAGCTTTTTAGGGTGTACAACTGCTTTTTTTGACAAACGTTACCTACATATATAGTATAATATTGACCAATTCAATAGCCGTAATAGTGTGCTTAAAGATACAAACCTTTAACATAGGATACTTTCGGAAGAGATGATCTTGCACCGGCACTTTGTGTCGTCATTGTTAACACAGTCAAAAGACCAAGAGAAATTCGTGCAGGCACTGCGTCCATGTCCAACCAGAACGAGACCCACGACAGGCAAACAATTAGTATACTTGGTATGTATATCTGTGTTATGTAATACCCAAAACTCCTCTTTAACTCAAATTCCAAAGTGATACACGTATAGTTTACTGAAATGGAAAAAAGGGTATATAAAATATATCTAAAAATTGATGTACAATACTTTTTCAATACAATAAGCTTTTTTTACTGCAATCCGTGATTTCACATGAATTATAAGATAAATTAATCTGCATCTTATCGCAAGGTTTCGCAAGCAGGAATTTATGTAACATGGCTTGAAATTACATGAGTAGTAATCACTCATGGTAAGCTTTGATAATAGTTCGACATTTTTATTACACTGTCAGTGAGGATATCAAGGTGGATGTTTTATTTTTATTATTTAATTTTGATACGATCTGTTCTAAAATGATATCAGCACTGATTTTATCAGAGAAGAAAAATTGCTTTATAGAAGCTTTAATCTATTAACCAATTTAATTTAAAAATGTGCATTCATTCTGATTAAAATCAAGTTGATAATGATTTCAGATTGAATATATGCTTCATGAGAAAATTTGAATAAATTGTATACGTTTTTGCTGACATACCTGCAACATATTGCTTATCACATTGAAATGTTCGCATGTCTCCAAGTTTAAATTGAGCAAGTTGAAGTCTTTGATCTTTTGATACAGGACTAGGATTCCAACGAAATTCTAGGATTTCTGTACTGTAGCCGTCTGTATTTAAAAAAGATAGGTAAACAGAGTTTCTTTTTGTTAAATGTTATACTTCGGAATATAATGATGTTTGTTACGATATTTCCGTGATAAAACTGACTGTTACATATTGACTTATTTACTACGCTTGACTAAGTAATGTTTTATTTAAAACAGTTCTATGTACGATTCCCTCCATACAAAACCACTAACATAAATTAGTAGATGCAAACATCCTGACGGGATACGTAAAACTCCGATCAAATTCAAGTAATCGCATGATTTAATGCAAAAAAGAAAATGCAGTTTAAAGATATCTATCAATGTGCTGTACGGCTTTGTTGCAAATATATTTATGGCATCGTGTTTTATTCCTCAACAATAAAGACATACATGCAATCTGCCTGTTCCATTTCGATAAAAATTGTTTTCATTTTTTTATTGCATTTATTACAAAAACTTAAACGTCTTTTTGCTTATAAGAATCAAAATTTTGAACATTTACAAATGCGTTTATAATTAAACCATTGCAAAATGCATACAACAAATCTGTTTAATAAAAATACCAAAGCAAGAAAATATGATCAGACGGATAAACCTTTTAAATTAAAGTGTACGACTTACAGCTTTCCATCATCACGTAACAAATCTGTGAATCGAGTGGATATTTACTAAGATCCATATTACATTGCAAAGTTGCAGATATCCTGAGAACACAAAAAGTACATTATTAATATGATACGTTAAACATTACCAATTCGTTGATACAAATGTAACCTAACAATTTAATTTGTAAAATGATAAGATCCATTATTACATTTGATCTTTACATACATCCTAGAAAATCGTTTTTAAAAGTGAATGATAAGTGCAGTTTAAATACTTCTTGAAGTTTTTGCGTAAGACAATCTAATAACATGCAAAATAAGATATTATCAATGACAATGTTTTCAATTTAATTTGGCAATATATATGAATCTTTACATTGGATACAGGATGTTATTCTTCCAAACGCACATGAAATCTATATTGAGATTATTTTTGTCAGTAATTTTCTACAATTAGATAAAAAAGATAGATCTTTCCAATCAAAAGCATCTTTGACCAAAGATACCTTAGACTGTACTGCACCCGTCCTTCTGGGTAAATGTGCATCAATTTATTTGGAACTGTTACCATGTGAAATTGAGCATGTTTTTCGTTGGCAATGAAGAGATCTGGTACCCAAATATTGTCCATAAGGCGGGAATCCAGTTCTAACGACCTAAGTGTAGGTAATTTCTTGTATGCTAGACGACTGTCGTTCCATGTTTGTCGTAGAAACATGCCAATGGAGTAGTCCTGTAGCCAGAATACAAGCTTGTAGTATACTGTTATCAAGCAGGGTCAAATACCAGGGTTGTTCAAAAAGTAATAGGACTGAAGCTCTACTCTTCACAGTTTTAAATCTACGATCACGCTTTTACAAAAACCGAATATCGGAACATGTCCTCTTTATACAGTGAAATAATGAATACAATATGTTTAAAAACAACAATTCTGTAAAACTTAGAAATGACAAGGGGTACACAACGCGGCGCACGCTTACAATTAAATAAATGACGTTCATGACGTTGCAAAATAAATTCAAAATATAATCATCGTCATTCTTCCTGAAAGTATTCTCTTTAGTGGTCTAGGTGTCTGAATCATGTAACAATAACTAGACGTTTATGGAGACGCAGCAAAAAAGAAATCAATGACATTTTCATGCCTCTCTACGAAACATGCCCGATGGCCGGTAATTTTCAGTTTTATCTCGTGATATTGAGTAACCTGGAAGCTTAACAGGCATGGTCATGAACTTATAATGTTAATGAAAAAAGTGATTTATATTATTATCTTAAACATGTCATCTTACATTCTGAAAACAATATGATTTTGTACAGTAAATTAAAAAATAATTATTTATTGAACAGTATTATCTTCTTCTAAACGGCGGAATCATTTATGAAAATGAAACCAATAGTTATCGTGTATAATTATCATATTTATTCATTGATAACACGTATATCTGAATATTAAGTAAAATAAAATAGTGTTTAAAACAAATTTCCCATATTCAATAATGTGCTCAGAACCGAGTGAGAAGACCGAATGTAGACATCAAACATCCTGGACAGTTCGCGCACTGTTTAGCGTGGATCATTTGGAGCACTTTTTTGCAATTGACGTTATTAACGTCCCGTCAATTTTCCGCTTTCTTCCTCATCCTTTCCTGTCTATGATCTCATATGCACCGTCTTTTAACTGCTTACACGAATTTAAAACGAGTGCCCTGATGATGGAATAATTGTTCTGTAAAAATTTAATCTTTTCATATGTAGCTGAAGAAATACGGCCTATTTGTTTGCCAAATTTAACGGTCGTACACACTTTCAGTTTTTCAACAAACGTCATATTGCTATATTTAACGCTGTTATCACTGTTGTTCAAAGCGTTATAGTTTATCCATTTCTTGTCTGAATGACGTCAAATTTGGACAAAATGTCACTTAAATATAATAAAACGTGTCGGAGAAATATATGGAAAAACAGACAACAAATTATGAATAAACTATAAGAACAAATTAGCGTCAAAATGTTTTTGATGCGTTGCGCCGGGTGCGTGTTACCATGGTTATTCAATATCATAGTGAGCACGCGTTTAGCACAATAATTCCATAAACTTATGCTTAAGTAGAAGAAAACAATTAACTTTTACCGTGCATATGAAAATATTCAAAAGTTAATGGAATATGAAGACGTATCACTTTTAGTCCTATTACTTTTTGAACAACCCTCGTATACTATTAATAGTTTTTGCGTCCGTGAATATCAAATATTTTCAAATTATACACTTTCAATATGATATATTATTATAAATGGAATGCTTCTCAAGTATGGTAGTTAGTTATGCATATAAGTTCCAATCATAAAAAAAATAGTAATGAATCAAACTATAAATATCCTGATTACTTATAATTTAAATAGTTCTACTCAAAGTCTTATGGACATACTTATATGTTTGTTCAGAAAGAAATTACGGTTATAAGCAGTTTTATTGCAATAGATTTTATATTTATGTGTGCTTTATATTTCTAAACAGCAATATTCAGTATTTCTACAATTTTACAACACGCATCTGTAGTATGAACAGCACCAGAATGACATTTTTAAAAAGCTAAAACTTGATATAACAGATGAACATCTTAATATTAGTACTTGCCAATATAATGGTTATTGACATATGGTTATGCTCAAAAGTTAAGTAGATACATATTTATCTAAATGACCTAAACAAAAGAACAGAGAACTTAAAACAAGATTTGATTCAATTCCTTGAATACTATATCAGATGTTGAATAATCAAAATTTCACAGCTGTTAAGACATGCAATACGTGCAACAATAATCCGACAAATACATTGGTAGGTAACAAACAATCGAAATATTATTGAATTGTTGTAATAATATAATTCCTTATTTTTGTTGGCAAATTGACGAAACACCTGTAACCAAAATAAAGCTTCGAACTCAAGTACTTACATATTAATCCATGTATCGTAAAAACAGTAATTTAAAATGAAATTATATATGTATATTGATCCTTTTTAAAAGATGAACAATTTGCCTTTTTTATACGCATTCACATTCAACGGTCATTTTTGAATACTTAATTTATGAGCTGTTTCATAATAAAAGCAACAGTGGAACACTAACTTTACATCGCAAGAAATACAGCAAAAAGAAAACATGAAATTATTTCTATAATATTCAAATGGTAGGATTAGTAACAACCTAAAAGAAAAATGTAAATTTGCCAATTTATCCATCTCGAAGGAGTATGTACTCACCATATTTGATTCACTAATACTGTCTATGTTGGTTATATGTAGTTGAACGAGAACTGTTACTGGAAAATCTGGAAAAAATGAAATTGTGTGAACTATTAAAACAGAATTAAAATTCAACCAAAGTGTGCGCTTAAACATTCTGTGAAATGGTAAGTGACAGTTGTAAATGGTTTTTGAACAACCACCAACCATATACGAGTATACAACAAGTTAACGAAGGGATAAACATTGGCTGCAATACTTGTGCATCAATTTTTAATGGGAAGAAAGCAACCCCCAGTCACAAGAGGAACGGCAGATTTTACAGATAAGAAATGCTCCTAGAAATCAACAATACTTATTGTATAAACGTATCTAATTCAATAAATATGATCTACATTTATCATCCAGAAAATGCTTTCGGTAGTAACGCATTAAATGTATTTTTTTTTATTGTTTTGTTAATTTTTAATGTAAAAATTGAAACTTATAATAATATTGTATATAAGAACGGTTCACTAATAAGTAAGAGATATGTAAATAGTCAGGATTATCATCTTATGTCTTCCAGTTACCATATATTTCCCTTACAGATAACACTGCTTGAAATTCGTTGATATTACATCATGATGCCTAATTGCTCTATATTATTTGCAATATTAATATGTCAACTTATTATATTTGTAACAGTTGGTAAATTGCATGTTCTTCTGGTAGTTTAATTATAGATTCCCCAAACTAATTACAAAGAAAGACAGAAAAAGAATCTCTAAAGAACGTTCAAAGCGAAAAAAATGAAAAAGTTGCAAGTACGGTTTAATTGAGCCTGTTCATGTAAAGTTCAAACATTCGTATACGCCCCTAGACACCTACTCATTATGACCCAGAAATGCTTTTATTCTATTTCACAAAGTCTTATTGTTATGTCATGATAAACTTTACAGAAAGTACACAATTATAGCGATTTAGTATTTTGGAAATCAAAATACCTCTTTTTGTACATTTTGCTACTTTTGCAACTAATAATTTCAGCACTTCTTTTGTCTAACACGCTCTAAAATTATTAAGTTAGGGTAATAAAAATCGAATTTGCCCTTTGTTAGAACAAATGAAATATGTATTTGTTTCTGAGGAATAGTGTGCCTTTTATGCACAATTCATCATTTAACATGAAAATGGTGAGATTTCTAACTTGGAAACAGCCGCAAGTCTTTTCATTTGGTTGTTGTTTTCACGAAATCTTCAATGTGACACCTGAGTGACATTCTTTAAAAAGCGGCGCACCGTCCCCAAGAAATAGAATTATTGTGCCCTTAACGGTAAAACAATTCACGGAACTGAATATATATATAACAAATTGTACGCTATATATACGTTAGCTATTAATCCGAGAAAATATCAACTAACAGCAAATAAAGAAACAACAAAATAAAACAGTAGACTGTAGTAGACTAAGTTTAGAACCTATTGTTGTTCCATTTTGTCCCTGAAGATATTATCTTTTAACTGTTAAAATAACCTTATCTTTTATAAAATGATGCTTGTAAGATGTCATTTAAAACGCTATAACTTTAATGATATATACCACTATTATTATATTTACCTTCCTCATAGTTTGGAGGTATCCTTGGATCGTAGTATGCTAACAGTTCATCAAGTGTTCGTTGCCTGCAATTATAAATCAAAATAATAGCATTATTGTAAAAAGTATACTTAACATAATTATATATAATTTTAATTAATTTAATTGTGTAATGTAAGCTTTTTTTCATTTTTTTGTTGTTGTTTTAAAGTCATCATTTGAATAGAATGATCAATTTGTTGCTCATTCACATCACCATACGTGAACTAAAGTGTAAAAAACGTAACATAAAAAGTCCTCTTAAATGTAAATTTTTAAAGCCACTACAGTTTGTTTTCATTTATGGCTTGCTAAGTCGAAAATATACTCAATGAGCTACGGAAAAGACACATAGCAGAAACTGTCATCATTTACTGCTTAGTTCAGTTTTTTTTCAGGTCGTGATAAAGTTATTTCTGCGATAAGAAGCAAAACATACTCATTTAAATAATATTTCATCAAAATAAGAATATAATTTCCTTCTTATTTTGAAAATAAAAACAACAAATAATCATTATGAAATATTTTCAGACATTTATACAATAAAGATACACTAAGTAGATACAATTAATTCTATTGACTCTGATATACTGTTTCAAATTATAGATACTAATTGTGCTGTTTTTTTTTTCATTAAGCGCAAACATTCTCATAAATAACGTGTTTGTGTATCAATAATAAACCTTTCTTTTAAACTTTGTGCGTTTTCCTGTTTAAATAATTGAATTGCTACTTAAAATTATTATCATCATAAGTTATAGCAATTCAAATAAATGAAACGAAACTCAACGAGATATTCGTATGACGTAGATGCCACTTGCATTTAACACTAAGAATTGCTAAACGACTTTTTATTAAAATCATAATTGTAAACAGACAGTTTATGATAACAGGAGTAATTGCGAACAACATAAAACAGCCGGGTATTTACATTTACAATTAAACAGTATTTTATTTCATATCCAAAAAGAATATAAATTGAGTAATTGATACTACACTTCATCTTATCACGGGAGTAATTGCACTATTTCCTAACGTTTTTAGTAACATACTTATTATATATTGAGTGATTAAGAAAAAATAATCATTTTGTTCTAACTATAACATAACTATAGCCGTAACTAGGGTAATACCTAATGATAATGAGCGTTCCAATTTATTATTTTCCTGTTATATTGCATGACTGTGATTTTGTTTGTTTGATTATACAACGCACGAACACAATATAGGTCATATCGCGCCGATGCAGAAAAGATGGTTTTTGCTTACCTTTGGTGTTAAAAAGCGAAACCAGAAGTCAAACCTATCTCACCTGATAAAGCTTAGAGATACATAGACTCCAGAAATTTAAACCCATGTAGTCGCCTCTTACGATGTCACAAACCTTCAAGGCAATCCCTCAGTCAGAGGGGTATTGACTGTGATAATTGTTGTTTTTATTACATTTATACAAAACTATCCTTATACAATTAGGAAATAGTATTTGAAATCAACAATGACTGTATGACTGTGATAACACCCATATATTTTTCAGCAAAGTCTTATATAAATGTAAGAGGTCAGATTGTTATGCAAAGCATCGTTGCTTTTGCAAAAAAAAATATCCACAAGACCTGATTTTTCTAAATCTACATAAAATTTGCTCGGTCAAATTTTCTTAGGCTGTGAAATGAAAACATTTTGAAAAGCAAATGACGTTAAATATAATGATTGTTTTCAATAAAATTTTCCACCGCTATACCCTGTACTACACAAAACTATAACCTGTCAGATTTTGAAATATTGTGGAAGTAAGAAGACCTTGCCCCGCCTGTAACTTGTGACAAAGATTTTCCGAGCAGTTCTGCACTCGTGACATCATAGATGCAAGCAATGATGTTGATAAGTAAGGCAATAATAGGTCTCTTCATACTGATGACTGATCAAACCGTATCTGTAATTTAAAACAAATTGAATAACTATTACAGTTAGATTCTGTGTAAGTTTGAACACTTTTTATGAGGCCTGGTTCTGAAATACTATTCCGGGACTACGGCAAATAAAGTCCATGTTTTCAATATTGAAGAAAAAGAAAAGAAGCAAAAGCATACATATCAATTCAAAATATTCATATATGATAACCAAAAATAAATAGAAATAAATGTTTTATTTAGTTTATTTGCAGATAAAAGAAAAAAAAAGTTTTACAAATAGGTCATGTATAATATTTAATGATCATTTAAGATGTACATGTATGTCAGAACAACTTCTCAGATATGGAATCATAACTAAAAATGATATTAAAAGCTTTCTAGATCATTAAAAACTCTGTTACAGACTGAAGCCCAATTTAAATTGAAAGTAAAAAGGATAAAATCAATAACAATGCTCAAGCTTCATATATTGTTTTGTTGGTTTTTATGTATACTTTTGTTTTTGCTTTCTTTTATTTTTTTTATTATTTATTTATTTATTTACTTATTTATCAGACTTTAATCAGATTTATATTTGACAAGGATGACCCTAGGTGGTTTATGTTTCTGTGTATAACACAAAATTTCTTAAACTCGAGATATTTTTTTTTAATCATAAATATAGCATGTTATCACTTGAAATTATCAGGAAATAACATTTCATTCAATGCTCCTATGTACTTTTGTATTAATTTTGAGAAAAATGCTCAGTCGACTTATAACAGTAAAAAGAAAATAATGATTAATCAGCATAACAGCTATCACATGAAATTATGACGAAATCACAAATAAGTTGTTAAAAAATAATCCGGGTATGGATCCCGGTACCTCTCACATGCAAAGCGAGCGCTCTACCACTTTAGCTAATCCCCCGTTACATAAGGAGATAAATCTAATTTCTCAACTGTCCTAACGAAAAAGAAAATGTTTTCTTTCAATTTATTCGATGATTAAACGACTAAATAGGCATTTATAATACACTATTGTTAATAATTATGAACATTTCATTTATTTATTATTATTTTTAGATGGAGTATTTAACTTAATATAATTAACTACTTAAATAATCAATTGATGCCAAAAAGAGATGATAAAAAAGAACTCTTTACGATTTATTGTATGTGCTACATCACATGACAGGACATAAGGGGAATTAGCTCAAGTGGTAGAGCGCTCGCTTAGCATGTGAGAGGTACCGGGATCGATACCCGGATTCTCCAAACAATTAAAATTTTACAAGATTTTAAAGATACATTTAATTATGCAGCATTCTTTAAAACGAACGATTTCGTAAGACTAATGTAGCCGACACATTAAATTGTTGCCTAGTTTTTCGAGAGTTCATTGTTATGTAAATCGTCATGTTTTCTTATTTAATATTTCACTTTACATTTATATGTGTTTACATCTTTCGAGGAATGAATTGATAATATGAAGTGCTTTTAAGATCTTTTTCTTAAATCCCCTATAGTCGAACATTTTCGTAGCTCGCAAGACGAATGCTTATCGCCTAGACCAGATTCGAAATCGTAAATCTAAATTTACGTTTTGGACAGCTGTGGATAATGTACGAGTTCGTTTTATATGCAAGGTTAAACAAATATCTAATCTATGCCAGATTAAGTTAAGGTGAAATGTTTTATTTAATACACGTGAATTTATATTCGAAATAAGAAGTTTGGTCAAAGTTTGAGAACAAATCCACTGACAAAGGTCTTCTTACTGACCAAATTAAAATGCCCCCGCCTCTTGCGCTAATCTCCCATTCAGTTTAAACGGAGGTAAAGAAAACAACTGCTCGGTGAATACAATTATATAAAATAAAAAGATTGGTTATACATATCACATGCAAAACGGGGCCTCTATCAGTTCCAGATAATTCCAGGTATAGTTTACGTGTGCAGATTTTAAGTTTAACCCAATTTTTTAATCTAAATTCTGGAAACAAAGTGATCCCTCGGAAGCATTAATCACAACAAAATAACATAAGAATTGCAGACTCGGTTTGATTGAGTCTGTACATGAGGGATAATGAATAAGTGCAACATCCCTCACGCCCCCTAGCACCGGCTTGAGCGGTACTCAATTCTCAACACTTTATAGTGCTGGCATCAATGATCCCGAAGGACCAGAAAATATAACAACACTGAAGTAAAGTACGGGGCAACTTTTTACGGCTGCCACACGGCACTTGACACCTGCTGTTGTGAAGTACAAAATTCTTGAAACAAAGTGATCCCTCGGAAGCACCAATCACAACAAAATAACATAAGAATTGCAGACTCGGTTTGATTGAGTCTGTACATGAGGGATAATGAATAAGTGCAACATCCCTCACGCCCCCTAGCACCGGCTTGAGCGGTACTCAATTCTCAACACTTTATAGTGCTGGCATCAATGATCCCGAAGTACCAGAAAATATAACAACACTGAAGTGAAGTACGGGGCAGCTTTTTACGGCTGCCACACGGCACTTGACACCTGCTGTTGTGAAGTACAAAATTCTGGAAACAAAGTGATCCCTCGGAAGCATTAATCACAACAAAATAACATGAATAATAAGCCATGAAATTAACGCTTTTTTATAGTTTTGCTGAATAGTGTAAGATTATTGATTACAATGTTATAAAAAGTCTGAGAAAAACAAGTCCTGATACTAAGAGTTTTCAAAAAATGAGCAAACTTATTAATGAACAATATTACATAATAAATAAATAAATAAATAATAAATAATAAAATCCCTAATTGCGGTATGGCTTCACCATTTAAATAGCGCACACATAAATGGCATAAATTGTTCTGTACTATACGCTTGATAATTCTATAATTAAGTCTTTGAAGAATATACTTGCTCAATAAATGCTCTAAACGTATAAGAAATATTCCTTAAATTGAAGCAAATGCTATAAGGAAAACCATCTGGGTAATCAGATTGAAATGGGTGTTATGTGTTAAAACTTTTCTACACAATAAAATTACATGGTAAATTAGTATACTTCAGTACACATTTTTTTACATTGATTGTTTTCTGTCGATTTTAAAAGTATATATTATGTGCCGTTTTTAGCAGTTAGCATTTCGGAGTAACCGGAAAGAAAACAAAATATCATTAAATATTTAAGGCATAAATCAACTGAAAAATTATACATTACATATAATCAAAAATATGCACTTGCAATGCTTATATCTAATACTGTGCTCAGCAGCCTGTAAAAGTTGTTCAATAGAGTAAAATGGTTTTCTGTTAGATACTTCACTGCAACACACGCAGCTGAAGAATTATGCAGCTGCTGTAGTGTATAAACATTATATCTTGAGTTTTTAAATAGCAAGACAAGGTAAATAAAATTCCTTTATACATTATCTAATTAAAATTAAAATTTGTGTTTGGTTTATACATTTTACTTATAGAGACATCATGTCAATCCAAGGGTAAATATAGATTGAACAGGTGAAAGTCAAGATCAGTTTACATTTCTATTATCAGCTGTCGGTCAATCACCATTATAGCAGACAATTGTTTGAAATACATAGTCAATTCAGTTCAATTTGAGATGGAAAGAAAAAATGAGCATAATGTCATTTTAAGTGTATAAAGCTCATGTCAATAAAAGTCTATTTTTCTAAAAAAGTGAACTAATGATCTTATGGACATTTTTTGAAAACTTGGTACATATAGAATGTCTGTGATTCAACACACATGTATATAGACAGTGGTATTCCAATTAAGGTGTTAATTGTGTAGAAAACATAGTGCAGGCATGCTTCTATTTGCTAAATATCTCATTCATGCAAGCATTTTGGAATTCAAACCAAAAGACATTTGCCTATTGTTGTACTGTAGTCTGGAAAATGAATATGCAATATTATTTATATATTGTTGTTTTATTGATATATTCGTTATTGCAGAAATTTGCATCATATAAAAGTAATCCATGTTGGCCTTCATAAGATTTCATATTAAAACGAAAAGAGATTTCGTTCTATATTGCATGATGAAAATTTTTTCAAGATGTCTCAGATAGGAACACTAAAGTTAAAAATTTTACACATGATAACTGTTACCAGTTTATGTTTGGTTTCAATTTATTCTCTAATACCATAACATCACATTGCAATTTAAATTATTTCATCGTTTTATATTTTAAAACAAATGGGTACGATCATAAAACTCTTCTTTAGACATTTAAAAAAAATAATTTTAAAAACGAAAGAGCAAAAATATTCATTGGAACAATTATATTTAAAAAAGTACATCTGTATCTAAATTATTGCAGTGATAATTACGTAATTAGAATAAACACACAGGTATTTTAGACTGGAAACTTTACTTTCGATTTTACTGATATGCATATGGGTTTTTAATGTAAGTAAATACTCCCAGAAGCTGCGAGCTAAATTGCAATTTATTCCTTCCTTGCAAACCTAAATTGAATAACACATACTTTTCGCATTATTGTCACAAATATATTATTGTCACAGTCTGAAGAGGCCATAATTATAATTGATAAAGTATATAAAATACAGATGCATGTTAAAATATAAGTATGATTTCAAAATACATATTTCAATCAGTTTTTCATAAGCGAACACAACTATGGACTTTAAAACGTGTCATTTATATATATACGATTCCTGTTGATTGAATCGTTCTTTACAATTGTTTCCTTAGGGACCATTACGTCTCGTAGTATGAATTCATGAACATTGAAGCTGTTGATTGATCTAAACAATCAATCCACTGAAATCGTAATCTATACTGCAATCATTTCATGTTCCCATATTTGAACAATTCTAAAATTTTTGATAAATCAAAGTAATATTTCATGTAAATTGCACAATTCCTTAATGCGGTTTCCTCGTTTAATGTTGTTACGCAAGCTTGCAAACGAGAATTATTCACCGCATAAACTATTAAACCAAACATAACATAATTATTAGAACTATCAAGAGATTGAATAATAGCTTCCCATCATCTAATTTCTAGCAAAACCAACACTGTACTTTTCAGAGATAGAAAATAGTCAAACTTCTGAATTATTTGTTTTACGATAGTCATTCATGTCTAGTAGAATGAAAATAAAATGGACTTATATGATTTGTCAACAGGTTCTATACACTGCTAAATTTGACATTTGGCCTCATTTGTTGACATTGCCTTTGCCATTTTGATATTTGCTTTGAGTACAAAAGATGTCAAAGTTTTTCTTATCTACTTGTGATGGCCTTCAAAGATACTATACGGGATCATTAATAAGTAAGTAAGTTTTACTTGTTATTCCTAAAATGTATGAAAGTGTCAAAAAAATTGCAGAACATTAAAAAAAATCGAAAAGCCTCATTTTGATAGTTCATGGGTGTTTATTTACAAAGACTGTTTGTTTGTTTCTTTAGACATTACTGTAGCATTCAATCGCTAAGTCTATCTGGATATTAATTAATCTTAATATAAACATCACCCAAGATATCTTTATTTTCAACACCAGGAACAGGAACGAGTGGTATAATTACCAACGTACATGGAAAACACATTGTTTATATTTCTATTAACCATTTGCTAACAAAGTTGAATAGACGAATTCCTAATGATCATCACGAAGTTCAAGAGGTTAACCACGAAGCATGTTGCTATGTCGATTTCTCAATATGTTTGATCCGGCTGATACAAAATAAATAAATTGTTTTCAAAATGTTTGTCATAAAATATTAAGAAAAAATACCTTTCTTTACCACAAAAACAACAAAAAACAATAACAAAACAAAACAAAACAAAAACAAAACAAAAACAAAAACAAAAACAAAACAAAAAATAATAATTTAAGAAAAACAAAATAAACACCAAATTTAAAGGCTTTCGTCATAATTAGATAAAGACAACTGAATCTAAATGTTGTATCAATACTCAATTAATTTGAAAGCATGGTAACTAAAATTAAAGGCTAACACCTAAGTTTACATCTACATGACAGACATTTTCTTAAGCTGTCGGGTCAAACTTATATATACTGTTAGCCGGCGATCGTAAAAAACAAAAACAAATCATCTTATGTACTTATAATAATTCAAAGTTATTGCGTTACTTGCAAAATAAACAACCATGCATGTTGTTTTAGAAATATAACCTACAACATAGCTGAAATCCAAATGATCTAAAGAGATATTGATAAATTGCCCGTGAAAATGAGAGCCAAATTGAAATGGATTTCTCTTTGGGAAATCGTTGAACAATAATCAGATAAAACATTTCTTCCTACTATTATGTAACACTATCACACTACGCCTGCTGTTTCTCTAAAATATTATTTCCGCTAGAATATTAACTGCATTAAATGTAAATGTAGCATTTTGGAATATGTAATTGTATGCTAATCTGTTTGAATCAAAATAATGTTTGATTTTTTTTTTTTGATTTTTTTTGTTACTGTTTATCATAAAAGCTATTACTTAGTTGTACTTATATTATTTTTTATACTTTATATTTGTGTATACATAGTTTAAATCCAAATGCCAAATTTTCGGACTTATTTTTTTTATAATTTTCTTAGTTAACTAAAATACATTGAGCAATTTAAAAATAACCAAAAACATAGATAAAAAACACTTAGAAAAATAAAATGATAATGTTATTTCTTTAAAACAATGTTTCTTTCAAGAAAGATAAAAGGTTCTGCAGATGTGATTTGTCATAGGATAACTTTATGTCATATGACCAAAGTGTTTTAAGATATATTCAACCAACATGCATTGTTAAGGTATAAAATAATTTAGCATGTTATCCGATATATTATTTATGTTTTATGCTTCAAACATGTTGCGTAGTTTATAGAAATATGTGCACATAACAGTTTATATATCAAATTATTTCTTCAAATATCAACCTTCTATATGCGATAATATTTAAATAATTAATTTGTTTCATTTCATTATCAATAAACAACGGAAATGGTCGTTTAAAAAATAAAGAATGATGTATATTTATTCATAATTTTATACATGCAGTATGCATTTTAGTTTAAAAATGATAATGATGTTTACGAGGTTTCAAAGAACCCCTGCAATGTTCTTATCTAACAAACGCATACGGTTTATGTTAAAGAACGTTTTATGAACGATTATTCAGTATAATTATTATCAATAACTAGAACTCCGCGAGTCGGATGTGTCGCCTTGTGGACAATATAGTTTAGGAGAAATGGCCAGGAAGAATATGAAAATTAACAAAGGGCAATAACTAAAAAAATAAGAAGTGCAGAGCAGCAGTTTCTGTGCACTGCACTTCAAAATCAATAAGATCTATCATTCTATGAAGTTTCAAGTCCATATCTTTTATAATTTATGACAAATGGCCTTGACAAAAATAAAGTAATAAATAAATATTTAATAAAGGGTAATAACTAAAAAATAAGAAAAACAGTGAGAGTATCGGATCTTGTACACTGCACTTTTTCTTAATGAGATCTATCATCCTATGAAGTTTCATGTCCATAGCTTTCATACTTGAGGAGAATGACCTGGACAAAAATAAAGTATGAAAATTAACAACGGGTAATGACTAAAAAAAAGAAATGTAGAGTACCGGTTCTTGTGCACTGCACTTCTTCTTAATGAGATCTATCATCCTATGAAGTTTCAAGTCCATAGCTTGAAGACATTAGGAGAAATGGCCCGGACAAAAATAAAGTATGAAAATTAACGAAGGGTAATAACTAAAAAAAAGAAATGCAGAGTACCGTTTCTTGTGCACTGCACTTCTTCTTAATGAGATCTATGATCCTTTATTAGGAGAAATGGCCCGGACAAAAATAAAGTAAGAAATTAACAAAGGGCAATAACTCAAACATTAAGGAGTGCAAAGTACCAGTCCTTGTGCACTGCACTTCAGGTTATTGAAAGAAACATGCATACCAAGTTTGAAATCAATCCGACTTATAGTGACTGAGTTATGTCCCGGACAAGCTTTATGGGGCGCCGACAACGACGCCGACACCGCAGACGCCGACACCGCCGACAAAAGTAACCCCGATATGTCGCCTTTTCAACGCAACACAAAAATGATAAGTAAATAGAGATCTGAGCATCAAAAGAAATAAATTTGATTAAAATATTTGACTGGCATTAGAAAAGCTAATTTTAGATTTGTTTATGAAATACTTTTCAAATAATTTACTTAAATGCAGTTGTTTAACCTAATAATATAAAATTGAAAATATAATAACCTTTTTGGTAAGCACTTTTCTGACAGACTCCCAGAATTTGATGTATCTGAAAATATCCAGCTATTTTTTCCACGTCATTACTATGTAACTCACTTGCATTTAATTTATATATACATAACTTTGTTTACATTGAGACATATAGTTCCCAAATTAATCAATAAAGGCGTATTAAATGCGTTTGTAACCTGGATATGTGAAACTCTTTCTATTGGTTAACTACCTATTCTTTAACCTGTAACTGGAGTTATTGGTTTTTCGGTGCTCATAAATTTACCTTCAATAAAACAGATAGAATAGTCGGTTGAATAGTAAGATATTGGTAGTTTCATCACAATCAAAAACACATCACAATCAAAAACAGCAGGACAGAAAATGCGCTATATCGCTGTAGCTGTTCTATCAAATAGTGTAAAGAAATTATGGGAAATTCTATCAAATAGTGACAAGAAATTAAGGGAAATTGCTCCTTATGATTTATGTTAGAATCCAGTCACTGTATTCAACAATCAATTATTCAATTATTCATCATCAATGATTTTATCATGGTAAAATGTTGCCCTGTCCATGCGAATCAGAAAGTAAATAAATCGTATGTTAATATGTTATTGTAATTTCCACATAGCCAAATTCAATACATGAATTACATGTACAACTTTTCTGTCAGTTAGAAACACTTTATCACGCCCTGTTATAGAACTAGAATTGTTTTGATAATTATAACAAACAAACATGCATTTTTTTATATGTTATTTCTGTCAAGTCAAGTATGATTTTATAAACTTAAGGTGATTCCACAAAACTATTTGATATTGACATTCTCTTTAATTCCTTCATATAAATCTCTCGATCATTAACAATGTTCGTCTGTTTTATGAGTTTCCTTTGATAATGTCATTTTGTTAAAAAACAACAAAAAACAAAACAAAACAAAAACAAAAACAAAAAAAAAACAATAATAAACAATAACTTTTGTAATTTCCTTTTGAGATTATAACATGTATAACATTACAAAACAAGCGGTTTTTATTTTCAAAACAAAATCTAATCTTTTGATCAAAATTTCATCTGAGACTTTGAAATGAATTAAAATCAATTCATAATATAAAATAATTATGAAATAATGGTTTTCGTACGAAAAAAAATAGATACTATCGCATTAAGGGCGTCAAATGATACAAAAAGTCGTATGGAACAAGTTAACATAAAAGAATAGGATACTTAACCCTTTCCCCCATGAGCATATTGTGAACAGTGGCCATTTTCACTGAAAAGCCTCCTCTTGCATGTTCAAACTGATATGAAACTATGAAAAATGCTTCAATACTAATCAAACTTGGCACAAATGTTGACTGGACCATTGCCGTTGTCACGACATGCTCAGTCTTAAATTTCCTGTTACCGTGGCAACGAGGGGAGATCTCAAAATTGCCAAAAATCACTATTTTGTCTCGTTTTTTTTCCATCAAAATTTATTTCAAAGTGTTGCAACTTCTCAAGGGATTGAGATAGAGTCAAAGGCTTTTCAGCATTGGTTACACGTTACCTTATGATCGACCTGGGGTCATTTTAAGCCTCTCACAAGTCCAAAATTTTCTTGGCGATGAGGGGGACTCCGCCCCCCGTCAAATCCCCCAAACAGAAGGGGGATGTGCCCCCTTCTGGCAACCCCCTGATGTATCTTCTTTTGGATGGGGGACGGCGCCGAAAAAGTGCTCACTTTTTTAAGCAATATTTCTCAAACGAAAACATGTGTTTGAGGCCCAAATAGGACATTTTTTTCACTATTTCAGGCCTAAAAAAAGGGGGTCCAAAGTGCGTTGTTTCGCGTATATATGAGGTAAAGGGTTAATAAAAGAACATTTTATAACGATTTTGTTAAAACTAATTATCAATTTTCAACAATAATTTCTATTCACGTGATTATAATTAATAGATGCATTCAATTTTACACAACAAACCTACTGGATATCAACGTATCACACAATTATGATTGATATGTTATATTGATATTTTCTGAATTTATCATTTCTGTGGAAAAAAATTACATATTTACGCATAGTGAATTGCTATAAAATTTGCAAGCTATCTAATTAGGGCATGAATAAATGGAAACGGTTAATGTAAAATTCGTACGTAACTGAAATTAGGAACAGAACAGAATCTTTATTTTCAGACTTGTACAAAATACATCGTCTTACACAATACAATCAATTACATATATTTAAATATAAGTCACATTACATAATAATATCATTGTCAAATGTTAGCAAAGCATATGTTTTTATTGCTTAATTGATAATTCCGTTAACACAATCATATTCAAAATATTAGCAAAGCAAAATGTAATCTATATTTTAAAGTTCGACATTATGGCAATCAATACTTATTTATTCTACGCTATGTACACAGATTCAACGATGTGTAACTGATATTCCTCATAGCCAATGCTTCTCGTAATATAACAAGCTAGGTTCGTAAAATAATCTTATTATCACTATTTAATAATTTTAAAAATTAATACCATACTAGGTCTAACCTAGTAAAATTTCTTAATTATATTTCTTTCTTAAGGTCATTGTAAACTAAGTGCCAAACGCTAAACAAAAGTGGTACTCATCTTTCAATATCATGTAAGCTACAGTATAATACAAAAAACGTTCATTTCTTTGTATCCTATTTGAACCACAACGACCATACTGTATTAAGTGGATGTGCTGATAATCTATAGTACTACTGAACAGTATATCCCTAAGGCTAACTAGGATATATATAATCCAATATTTTCAAATACTCTTGTGAATCTCTAATTATTTATATATCTTCTTTGTTATATTAATATTAGCACTAGTTATTGTACAATGAGAATTACATATAGTAAACGTTCATGTCTTTGAATGTGTTCAAATACATAAGGTACTCATTTTATCTACATAAATAATTAACTCCCTTGACACGATGCCTTAAATATGACTTAATAATGCGTAATTATACTATATTTCAACAATCTGTTATGTATCACAGTATACAATTTCGATATATACACACATATGAAAGTCCTTTTTCAGTCTTCAGATCCATGTATACTGTCTTCTATAATAATTGTGATTAATTTAACAAATCACACATCTTTCTTTATTAAAGAATGACTATTGTCTTATTTGTTATCAAATGTTCAGCCAAAAACTTTACTATCCTGTAAATATCTTTTGTAAAATGTATAAGGATAACTAGCCAGCTTTCACCATAAACTGCTGCATTACATGCATTCATTTTAACATTAAGTATTCTTTATAACAAAACTTAAGATGAATTCTTTCAATTTCTTTTGACTTACTATTTCCCAAAAATTTCCGAGGCATAACAAAGAATGCTTCAAATTTAACTGAACATAATAATTTTGGGGATTAAGTTTATGCTTTTTAGCAAGTTAATAAGTAGAACATTTAATGCTTTAAAAGCTTTTCCTGTTATCTGTTTCCTGATTAAAAACAAACGTTACCCGTGTAATTTAAAAACATTACTCCAAGGTAATTAAAATTATCTAACAATTTCGAGTTTTTAACCTTAATTATTAAATTATATTATGGTAACTTAAAATCCACGCAAAAACATTTTTTTTTAAATTTTCAATTGATTTTGCGATATGTAATAATGTTTCTTTTCTAATTAGTGTACGAAAAGGGCTATACAATATTGAAAATGGTTTTAATAATTTTATATAGTAAATACAACATGACCATTTATTAAGTACTAAACTTGCATTATTTTTTCAATTGTTGCAAAATGTTCAAAATTTGCAAACTTACACTAATTATCAAGTACTCACCAGGCAAATATATACGCAAACTCCTTTGACATATCTGACATTTAATTCCACAATTTAGATTTACTCACTCAGTATATCTCTCAACTATCACAGCATATTCACAGTAACTATCCTTGATTGAAGTACAAGGTTTTTAATCTACAGTAGCTTGAGTTATTGGATGTTAACTTCTCTGAAATATGTATTCATAGTAAGACAGTGGAATTAACCGACTGATGATACAGCTTTTCACAATGTAAAGCAGCATGCTACTACAGCCAGATAGATATCACATTTGTTTTCGCACTGGAAATTCCACAGGAAAGAGAAAAAACTGGATAACGATATTTTCTAATCCGTCCTGTCAGAGTTGAAGAAAACAAATGAGTTTTCTCATTAATACACATCATTAATTGAAATATCATTAAGTGCTGTAACGAAACATCATGCAGCAGTGAATCATTTACATAGAATCATTAACTATAAATCATTAACTGTAAATCATTCAAAACAAAATTATATGCAGTTAATCATTTACAACGAATCATCATCATTTTAATTAATTTAATCATGATAGGAAATTATTTCTATGCATACAATTCTTGTTTGTTTGTTTGTTGTTGTTTTTTTTTTTTTGGGGGGGGGGGTTGGTGTTATTTTTCAAAAATTGCCAACTTTATAAAACAAAACTACAAACAGTTTCTTAAAGTAATATGAATATTGAAATGAAATATATTCCAACAGCAAATATGATTATCATTTCATTTAAGATGTATGATCATTTTAAAGCAAGGATTTATTTTTACTATCAATATTGTTCAATGATATCAAGATATAATCTAGGCGCAATATTAAACCTGTGATGTTTTATCTAAACATGTTTTATATTACGTCAATGGAATTGTACATGTTGATCTTTACACAGACTAAAACTTATCAAGCGCTAACAATAACATAGCTGTTCAATGTGACAATATACAGTACCGGCAATTAAATGGTTCATTTTTATTCAATATATTTAAGGTTATCAGTAAAAAAGGTCTTATAATAAAGAATAACAGAAAATCCGAAAACAAAACATATTAAAGTTACGGTGTTTAAATTTAAATTCAGTTGGATAGTATAGAATTCTGCTTGTAAAAACTCTAACAGTGACTTGATACAAATAATGCAAAATGTTTATCTTAAATATTCCATTTTGTATGTGTGTTCTTGTCCATTTTCGTGTTTGCTTATAAAGCTATCAACTATTAATTTAATATAGATTTACAGAAGACATTCACGAAATATATAAACCTTTATATCAATATTTATTTTGGCATTTAATACAAAA